TATTAGTTCAGCTGGAAGAAATATGATAATATTCAGGAGGAATGTTTCCTTAACCCCGTACTTGGAGAAAATTCACAGGGATCTCACCTGAGTATTTGTCATAAATATTCATCATGCAAAAATTAATCAGTGGAATATGTAATACATGTTTTGTTATTTCAAAAAGGTCTGCATCTAAAATAAATGAAGAATCCTAGTATTAGTTGGCATGACATGACTAAACTAATCATGTTTAGTTTAGTCTAAACATGACTAGTTTAGACAAAGTTAGTTTAGTTAGTTTAATTTTAATTTGATTAGGTTTTTTCATAGCTTAGCATGTTGTTACGCTAGTCCACTTGACTGTCTTATGCTTCACTGATGGTTCAAATACAATAGTATTCGGCTGGGAAGTTAAGCAGTAATGTATTTTTCACCCATATAATTTAAACACTAAGCAGGTCTCTGTAAACATTTCATTTTTAAAAACAAGTCATTTTTAAAAATGAAATGTTTACAGAGACCTGCTTAGTGTTTAAATTGTTTAGTTCATAAAATTTACACATGACAGGAAATCTTATCCATGACTATATTTCAAGTGGCAAGCTAAAATTTTAGGCCTTCTTTATGCAAATACTTCACAAAGTAACTGAAGTAATAAACGAAAATGTTTTGATGATTACTTTTATTACTGCTAAGGGACATAGTAAACAACATAATACAATGCATAATAGTAATTAGCCAGTATGGATAAAGGCAAAGCAAAGGCAGGCTCACAGATGCTCTGTAAAAGAATCTATTCAAAGGAATTAATCAACAGAGCAAGAATAGAAAAAACCATTGGTGAAAAAAGTTAGATAATGAAGCAAGAGGTGTTTTACATAACTTAACATCTAAAAGGTATCAAAGAAATGCTAGATATTTTGTGGGGAGAGAAAATTCCTGGTTGAGTGCACCTACAGAAGGCTCATGATCACTCTGGAAATTGCCCTTGATCACTTTGGGAATTGCCCATCTAATCAGTGAAGGGAGTGGCGTGGAGGAGGGACATGTTTAATGTTGGCCCCAGGCCTGCATTGTGGATCTTTTATAGTTGTGTTTTTGCAGAGATCTTTCCAATGCAAGATAAGAATGTTTCAGAATTGAAAGTACAAACTGAAAGTTCAAACAGAGCTGAAGAAGCTTCTTGGATAAGAAGCAAAACATCTTCAAATAAAAACCAGAAAGTCCAGTTGCCTTTTGAAAAAAGCACTTTTGATACAAACTATGACTCTTAGAAATTATGCAGTAAATGAAAAAAATAATAATCAGTAAATCAGTTTAGAGAAGGAGACATTTTACTTGGATAATAACGATTCTTACATGTGTCTTTATTTTTACGATGATGCCATTGTCTCAGTTTAAAAGTTTAGACCATTTATGAGTTGCAGTGAGCACCAGCTTGACTTGCTGTTCTGTCATCAAATACGATGTGCATCTGTGCCTAGCAGTGTCTGGGAAAGAAAATGCCTTTAATTTTAACATTTTATTTTGTGTATGGAAAACACGTTAGCTATTTTCATGTGAGTCTTCAGAAATCCAGTTCCGTTATCTCTGGTCATAATTCAAAATGAGATTTATTTTTGGCAATGACTGGCAATCCTATTCAATTTAGAGCAACTCCAGATGGAGAAGATAAGTATTTGTTTTAATCCAAATTCTTGCATGCATGCATGCATGCATGTATGTATGTATGTATGTATATAGGTAGGAACTAACTTATTTTTTTGTTACTGCCATCCTTCTTGAGACCACTGATGCCAAAAAATTGGAAAAAAACTTAACCGATAAGCATTTGATGTATTTACATTTGGCAATCCATAGGAACGTTTCCAATTATCCCTCCTTTGTAATATTTATGACATTTAAGATATGAGAAAACTTTTGGCTCAAGCCTATTCCCATCTTCAGACGCTGCTGTGATAATTTCATTCTTCTCTTTCTTGGAACATATTCATCTCTTAAGAGAAAAGGGGGATAGTCTTAGGGTTAAACCTTCCTAATAGTGCAGCTAGAGAGAAGCATGCTCATAATAATACATATTTAGTAAGAGTTTTGTGTTCATTTCTAATGTCTAAATGTGTAGTAGAAGCTACTTCTACACAGTTATTTTTGTTTGGAATTTGCCTGAGGTATGTAACTCACTACTTGAGGTCAGAGGTTGCCCAACTTGGATTTGATGTGACACTTTAGCCCTGCATCAAGACATCCTGTGATCTTAAACATTATTTTTTTGCAGCCTCCAGGGACTATACAGATTATGCTATCAAATTTAATCAGTGTGTTTGCTGAAAATCATCAGTTTCCTGTTATTTTGAGGCAGGAAATCAAGAAAACTGTAACATAACCATAAAATATGCTTAATTCAGCTTAAATACATTCTGAATGTTATTTTTTTTTAACCAATTTAATGTATGATATTGTAGCCTGATGCTCCTCTGTGTTTTTCTTGCTTCTGGTTTGTTTTACAGGTATTAATATATTTATTTGGCAAGCTTAAAAAATCCTTATTTGAAATTGGACAAAATGAGTTTTCGTGTATGCTGCCATGAAAGGTCTGGCACAACAGATGGTATAGCAATATTTTACATAAATATAAAAAAGCTAAAAAAAAAAGCCGAATTAGCCAATTCTCTCTACTGTAATTGTAGTTCTGCCAGGTGTGCAACATAACTTAGACTATATTGCAGATATAAATATGTTGCAAAGTATAGACTATATTTCTCCTATGTACTGTGGTGTTTGATCCAACTGAAAATCACTACGTGCAGTCTCTGTGATCACCCAAATATTATAATTCTTGACTCATTTATTCCAGAAAATATTGACAGCTCCTACATTCTCATGGAAACAAAATTAAGTTCCTAACAGAGAAAAGGCAATTAACTGACTATGCATTTTATCGTTATGTGCAAAGCAGAGTAGTTCAATAAATAGAGCTATTTTCCTACACTGTAAGGCATATTTTTATTTTTTTTCATAGTAGAATTGCCCTCCCTAATTTTCTTCTGTTTTTAGTGCTTTTACTCTTTTGTCTGTCTGTCCGTCTTACGCTGCTCTGTTATGGAATGTGGGATTGTCCCAATGGGGCAAACTATCTCCATCCAGGCAGTCATAGATTCAAGTTTTTCATTTCCTACCATAAACAGGAAACAAGTAAGCACTCCCTTCTACCACCACAGTCCCCTTACTGTGGGAATACAAACAATTTTATTCTTGTTTTCCTGAAGACAAATGCAAGATGAGTTAGACTTCCCTAAACTGATGCTCTCCAAAGGCATTTGAATGCAGCACTTGTTATCTTTTTAGCCCAGTGTTTTTCGCACTTGGCAACTTTAATATAGATGAACTTCATCTCCCAGAATTCCTCAGCCAGCAATAAAATATAGGCTGGTTTCACACAACATGCTCAACACATTTTCATTGTGTAAAAGCAACTGTTAGATTTTTTTTTAAGCTTGCCAAGTATGGCGTAGTAGAAACATGACATATGGAAGATATGTTGTAAATTGTATAGCAATTAAAAATAATATATATTGTAATTCATTATCTCCTGTTCAAAAGATTATGTTGGGATGCATTATGGTAAAACGTTATCTAAATCTCTGGTAGTTTATATGATTTACTTCAATTCTGGAGTTCTTGTACAATCATGTGCTAAACAATGTAGTACATGTAAAACAGTGCAATTGTTCAAATCATCTAGATTTGCTTTTTTTTTTAAAGTGTTCCATAATCTTAGAGGGATTAAGTGAACCTATGTTTCTGTCATAATGCCTCTATTCACACAACATGCATAATCCGAGATTTGAATACTTAATACAGCTAGTCATTGACTTATGACCACAATTGAGCCCAAAATTTCCATTGCTAAGCAAGATACCGTATTTTTAGGAGTATAAGATGCATCTTTTTCCTTCAAAAAAGAGGCTGAAAATCTGGGTGCATTTTATACATTGAATACAGCAGTTTTTTTCCTCCTGAAACCCCGCCCCTTCACCAAAATGGCCATGCAGAGCCCGTAGAAGGCTTTCAGAGAGCTCCTGGGGGCTGGGGAAGGCAGAAATGAGTGAAAAATGGGCCATTTTTGTTCGGACCCCCACCCCTGTTCCCAGGGGTACTCTATAAGTTTCCTAAAGGCTATGGATGCAATTTTTTGACAAAAAATCGGGCCTGTTTTCGTGAAAAACTGGGTGTTTTTTGCTTGTTTTTTGGGGGGGTACACCCCAAGAGCACTCTGAAAACCCCCTAAAAGCTATTCATGCCTTTGGGGCGGGGGACAAGCCCGTTTTCATGAAAAACGGGCCGTTTGGGAGGTTTGCAGAGAGCAAAAACTTTTAAAAAAAAAATTGCCTCTTCAAAACCTTTGTGCATCTTATATTCCGAAAAATACGAGTAGTTGTTAAATTAATTTTGCCCCATTTTATTAGCCTTCTTGCCACAATTGTTCAGTGAATCACTGCAGTTATTGCCATAAGTTAGTAACACAATTGTGCCCCATTTATTTCACTTGTCAGAAGGTCACAACAGATGATCACATGACCCTGGGACTTTGCCACCATTATAATTACATGTCAGTTGCTAAGCATCTGAATTTTTATCACGTGCCCACGGGGATGCTCCCACGATTGTGAATGTGAAAACAGGTCCCAAGTCATTTTTTTCAGTGCCATTGTAACAGTCACTAAACGAATGGTTGTAAATCAAGGAATACCTGTAGTTGTACCTACATAGAATGCTTTAAGTGTTATAAGCAGCTTAATATAATGTGTAATGCCAGTCCTTTTGGTTATTTTATTACTCAGTGTGTTGTGAAGAAGCAGAAAGAAAACAGAAAAATTCATTAACCAAGTTTAGTACATTATGAAAATGCAATTATTAAGAGATCAAGGATTAGAGTAAAACTTTAAAAACTTAACTCGGAAATAAGTTCTTCAAGAACGTTCTCATGACTCTCCACCTTAACTCTGTTCTTTCTGCAGGCTGAAAAGAAAGCTAAGGTAATTGCTGGAATGAATGCTGTGGAAGAAACACCACGGAGCGAGCCCCAGAAGGAGGAGGAGGCTAGCCCACCAGCCTCGCAGCAGCCCACTGACCCCGCTTCTCCCACTGTGGCTACTACCCCAGAGCCTGTGGGGCCTGATGCTGTAGAGAAGAGCATATCAAAGTCACCTGATGATGAGCCAGAATATGAGGTGAATCAGGGACAGAGTTCTGCTCCCAAAAGTTTGTTTTCCCACCATTCTAAACTCCTGGGAAACCTTGTTCTTGGGGCATCCTTAGTTGGAGACAGGAACCCATTTCCTGTCTCCAAACAGCATTTGTGGTTGTATTACTGCTAGTTGGATTAAAGGAAAACAAGGCTACCAAGTGCCACACGTCAAAAGTGTCATGCTACTGGAAGAAACTGCCCCTGAGGCAGTGATGGGATTCAAACATTTTTTGCTACTGGTTCTGTGGGTGTGGCTTGGTGGGCATGGCAGGAGAAAGATACTGTAAAATCTCCATTCTCTCCCCACTCCAGGGGAAGATTACTACGAAATCCCCATTCCCTCCTGATCAGCTGGGACTTGGGAGGCAGAGAATAGATGAGTGCAGGGCCAGTCAGAGGTGGTATTTACTGGTTCTCCGAACTACTCAAAATTTCCGCTACTGATTCTCCAGAACTGGTCAGAACCTGCTAAATACCACCTCTGCCCTGCGGATTCCTTTTTATGTAATGAAGCTGCAGCCACGTATTAGATGCAGTGAATATGCACTGCAGATATATGGAAGAGCATGAAGCGACACATGATGATGAAGGGCAAAGAAATGGAAGAGAAGAATGGGCTTAGGAAGAAGTTTGTTTAACATAGGGGTTGTAAGGAAGTGCCTACAGGTGGAGAAGACAAAGGGGAAAAAATTGGAACAAATAAAAAGAGGCCAAAGTCTGGATGTAGGGAATAGCTGAAGTTGAATGGGTAAAGAAACATTTAGAGACTAGAGTGCAGACAAGAGCATATCAAAGTCAGAGGGCTAATGAGAAATCCCAGTCTTTTCACTTAGCTATTGATGCTCTCAGAAAATAACTTTTGGCACCTTTAGAAAAAGTGAACAGATGAATCTCTGATTCAGAAAAGTGAAAAATAAATACATAACATAAATACCTGCCCATCTGTTTTTCTTCCTATGTAGTTTTTCAAGGCTCATCTCCTTGCCTTACCCATTTCCTAACTCACATTCAAGTTTCTGCCAAAGCATTGCTTACTCACCTTGTTTGTATGTGGCTTCTCTATTCTTTAGCATGTTCTCTGTGAATCATGCATATGGGATTAACAACTGTGCTGTACCCTTCATAAAAATCATCCAAAATGAGAGCTTTTAGCAGAAACCCTGGCCCTCATTGACTTGAGTATTTATGTATGATTCTCTTTAGTTTTTCCAATCACTATAACAATTTGCTTATTTTTTTCTTTTCAACTGCAGGATGGCCGGGGGTTTGGGATCGGGGAGCTGGTGTGGGGAAAACTCCGTGGATTCTCCTGGTGGCCAGGCCGCATTGTTTCCTGGTGGATGACTGGCAGGAGCCGGGCTGCTGAAGGTACCCGCTGGGTCATGTGGTTCGGTGATGGGAAGTTTTCTGTGGTAAGTGATTGAGCTCAAGCTGGGTTTTCTGAAAAGGTCCCAAACTAGAAAAAACTGGGGGGTGGGGGTGGGACCTGCTTCTTTGTATGAACAGTCCTTCTTGTGCTCTTTTTTTATTATTTTACCTGTTTTATTTCCAATATTTTCAAGAACTGAAAGCAATCCTTGTATAATTACCAAAACATTTTAAAATCCATCTGAAAATAGCATAGCAGTCATTTTTGTGCTAAAAGGTAGCAGATAAAACTGCCCACTGAAGAAGTTTTTCTTTGGAACGAGAAGGACTTTTTTTCACCGGATATTATAATATCTTGGCATCACTACACAGTTCCCGCTCCCATTTTTTATGCCTGTTTAGGGGCAGATCTCAGACTCTGGACAATCTCCTATGCCTGTGATGCTGCAGATTAAAAACGTGGTGCTTCAGAGGTTAAAACCAGTGCATTAAATTCAGAAGCCTGATCAATTGTTTATTAGAACAGTAGAAAGTACAACCTGTTAACAACTTAAAGAGTCTCTTAGGACTCTCCTTGGAGTGGGTCTGCAAATAGTTCTAAGGCTTCAATTTGTGTATCTGTGCCATTATCTTTAGTTTACAAGTTGTGCTTCCTGGATTAATACAATGTGGTAAGCCAGAATGAAAGTAGCCACATTCAGCCATTGTTTATTCAGCACTTTGTTCCATAACTGCAAGTATAGTCCAGTTTCTGAGTCCCAAATTAATCAGCAGTATTTTTGTTGTTTCTAAAATTGTAGTATGTGTGGTGCCACAATCACAAAACAGTAATATAACATAATACTTTTTCAATATATACTAAGGATTTTCAAGTTTTGCAATACTGCAATCCCCCTAAAATATAAAACATCATTTGATTGTGGTTAGAACTGGCAAGAAATAAATACACTACTTCCTTTTAAAAAATACATTTAATGTATGGATCAATTAAAACGATGATAGAATTTATAAAGGAAAATCTTTCCATTGGAAATAAAAAAAAACAATGAAATTTTAATTGTATTTTAATGGGAAGTAATGATGAGCCTCCTTAACAGCCACTGTCCGTGACCTGACAAAAGGGCGAACGACAAAACCGCGCCGACTAAACCGCGTCGCTAAAACCACGATGTCATCAGCGCGCTGACAGAAGCGCGATTTAAGTTAAGGTAAGGGTTAGGGTTACAGCGCGCTTCTGTCGGCGTGCTGCTGTCGGCGCGCTTCAGCGGTCATTTGTCGGCGCGCTTTAGAACTCACGGTTTTGTCACCGCGGTTTAGTCAGGCGCGCTTTTGTCGTTCGCGCTTTTGTGGGTGAACCGCCACTGTCATTTTTCATTCCTCATTTATTTTGTATTGATATTTCTATTTATAGCAATTGTAAGAAACCCTGACTCACACAAATAGGACGTTATTGACTTTTATCAGCACTACCAGTAGATGGTTTATCTTTAGCTTGTTTGTTTCCATAAAAAATTCTATTTTAAAATCCTAGAGATTTAAAATAAAGGGTAAACATTTTGAAAGTTGTTAATTTGTATATTTTGGCAGATTATTGATGTGTTATTGCACTGGAAAATATAAATATTTCTGTGAGGCGGAAAAAATAACTAACAAAATGATTGTGGATGTGTAAAAAAGAAATGTGTTTCTCTTTTACAAAACAAAAATGTCATGCTCTCTTGTTTTGTTGAATTACTGGATCAGCCACGGTTTGGCAGAAAGAAAACCTAGAACTTACTTTTGTTATTCTGGGTCTCAATCAAAACAAAGCCTTCAGAGACCATGAAGTAACTTGACCATGAGGCCATGTAAGCCACTGCACTTATTCCTATCCTCCTCTTAGCAACTGCTGGAGTGGGTAATCCCACCAGTCCTCTCAAACTTGCCTTCCCTTTCTTCCCTTCTCTGCTTCTCCACTGCCCTGTTATGGGATATCCCAATCAAGTCCCAATTGACTTCCCAATCTTCTCAAACTCCTGAATTAAAAATTAGTATTAGGCTCGTGAAAACCATTATGTAAATGTTGAATAAATATCTCCCTGGCCAGGAAGAGAAGGGTCAAATTTCCATAGAGTTGAAAAAAGTGTGGGAAATAATCTGTATTGGAAAAGATAAAGTATAACTCTATTTTGATCTGGGAATCCAGCAACTGCAAATCAATGGAATTTTTAAAAGGTTCCAACAGAAAATATAAAGTAAATATAAAAGTTACGGCCAATCACAGGATCGGACAAACTTCAAACTAATTTTAAGAGCTCGACAACACAGATTCCCTGAAGACAGAAAATCAATACTCCTATGTGAAGAAAATATAGTTACAGTACCTAAACAAAGATTAAATTTAGCACAGTTCCAATCAAAGATTTAAAGAGAAACAGAGCATTGAATCAGATTTTTCTCCTTCTGATTTAATGTATTTCAACTTTTTAAAGTTTAAATCTGTGCCGAAGGAGAATGGCCCCAACTTTCTCTTGATCTCTTCCTCCACTGTCTTCTTTCTCTTTCCCAAGAGAACTGCCTGCAGTCTCCCAAAAGCTGCTTCTTCCTAAAGAGGGAGGCATTGGGGTAAATCTAAACTTTTCCTTACACATGTGGGAGAAATATTTATTTGGTGTATCTGACAGTGTGACAGGCAGGGAAAAAGACTGTAGTATTGAGAACGCTATGCATGCACGACGGGTTCAGGATGGATGAAATAATTGCATTAAGTATATGCAGTACACATTTCGTGATACCCATCCTGCTCCTTAAATCCAAAACATTTTTTTGGGGGGAAAAAACCTCTCAAAAAGGAAACTAAAGTGGTGTGCAATCTTCCATTCTGTTTCCCACTTCACAGCCTTCTGTGAGGATGTAGAGGGATCAGCCTTAGGGACCCGTGCTATTCATAGGGAAGAAAGAACTTGGTATTATTTCCTTGATCTCTTTGTTCTGGCAGGTCTGTGTGGAGAAACTGCTTCCACTCAGCTCCTTTGCTAGCGCCTTTCACCAGGCCACATATAACAAGCAGCCCATGTATCGAAAGGCCATCTATGAAGTACTGCAGGTAAGCGCAACCTTTGTCTACCTCTGGGACTTGTTTCCCTGTAGTCTTTCCCCTGTGGTGACTAACTTTTATAGCGGAATAAGGATATCATGAGATGGATTGCTCATAGATGGAAAGAATTAATCGTCAGAATCATCTCTGTCCCATCTCAGATTGGTTATCCCAGAGAATGAAAAAGGACTATCCTTTCATTAGGAATTCCTCATTGCATCCTTATGCAATACGTGCCATTCAATAATTTGAGATAGTTCATGGAAGCAAACAAAGCTGTGCATTAAAAGAGAAGGTAATAAAAATGAGAAGAAGAGAAAGGAGGGAAAACCCATCAACACTTTTTGGGCTACGTGAGCACTGGCTTTTGAGAAAATAGCTTCCTATGTAGATAAAATTCTGTTTTCCCTCCTTTATTGTCTGGGACAACTTCACTGATTCAAAAGAATGTAAGAAAGCCCAATACAATATGTGGAGATTGGGGAATGTCATTTCTGTTTATGTAATATAGTAGTTAAAGTCTTGGACTAGGAACAAGAAGCCAAACTCAAATCCTATTTTGATCATGGAATTCAGGGAAGGCGCTCAGCTTAACCTCTCTGAACCAATCTATCTGTTGGGATTAAATGAAAGAAGGTTCTATGGATGACACCTTTACTCTGAGAGAAAAAAGTGGGATGTAAATACAATAAAATAAATTATGGCGCTCAGGAAAGACATCTGTAGAAGCTGAACTCCATTCATTCCAGAATCAGCTGACCCTTCTGTCCATCTGTCTCCCGCTCCAGGTGGCCAGCAGCAGATCAGGCAAGATCTTTCCATCCTGTCCAGAGAACGATGAAACTGACACTTCTAAAGTGGTTGAAATGCAGAACAAACAGATGATTGAATGGGCCTTAGGAGGGTTCCAGCCATCTGGCCCGAAGGGATTGGAGCCTCCTGAAGGTAATGAAATGGAGCTAAATCATCACAACCCCCAAAACCCCTATTCCATAGGATAACAGGCGTTTTTGACCCATTTGTTTCTGAGGTGTGGTAGAGTCCTGTTCATTCTGATAGCAGGATTCCACAGGACAAAGAACAGCCAGATAACTCTTTGGAGGTTAGCATACACTGTCATCTATCACAAAGTCTGATGACAGACAAGCTTCCGGATCAAAAGAATCAAAGCTTGATTTCCCACCCTGCTTATCTTGCTGCCACACTGATGTACTTCTTTCTGCCATCTCAGAGGAACGCAATCCCTACAAAGAAGTTTACCCGGAGATGTGGGGGGAACCAGAAGCTGCTGCCTATGCCCCTCCTCCGCCAGCCAAAAAACCAAGGAAAAGCACAGCTGAGAAGCCTAAGGTCAAGGAAATCATAGATGAGCGCACCCGAGGTATATCTGGGACAGAATGGGATGGGTAGCTTGGAGGTTGTTAGCTTATCCCAACTAATCTCCACTTGATCTTTTTCCCCCCAATCCCAAGCTATATCTGAGGATAGACGTTAAAACCACTACGTACTTCTAACTCTCAATATCCTTTCTTACTGCTGTTTGTTGGGACCTTTTGTTACATAAAGCCAATGTAGGGCTCCCTGATATTCATCCATTTTTTAAAGGGGGGAAGACAGTACATGCCATTCTTATCTGGATAATTGGTCTTTTCTTCCATGCTCAGTCTTTTAATTTCATCTTCTCCTTTCCCCATGTTGCAGCCCACATGTTTGCTTCTCTTTTCCTAACTTTCACTGAATTATCATAAAAACCCATTCTGAAGCTCAAAGAACTCTCCCTCCATTCTCTAACTTGAGAACTTTGATACTAGAAGGAGAAGGGGAAATGGTGCCACTATCCCATGACGATTAGATAGCAATGCAGAGATTTTCTGGAACAAGCAGTAACAGGCCTTTGTAAGAAAACTAAAACTCAGAAAAAATGTAGCTCTTGGGTAGGATTATATACATAGCTACAAATAAATCATGAATTTCATCCTGATCTAAACCAAGAGTGTGCAACTTTCTGGGGGCCAAATTCCATATTAGCCTCATCCAGCCTGCCAAAAATTATACTTAAAAATCAGTGGAACCAAAAAAATGTGGGTGGTAAAAGGGGAGAATGATGGGACCTCCCAATCTCCAAGAATAAATTTAGTCTAACTCTGTAATACAAAGGCAATATTTTCCCTTGTTTTTGCTAGTTCCAGAACTGGACTCATTAAATTAATATAAATTAACAGAATATTGGCTGTGTTCACCCAAAACACCTAACCTGATTATAGATTTACTGTCAAGGTGTGAGGTACATAGAGCCATAAGTTAATTATACTAGCAAGATTCATGTACAAGGCACAAAAAAGGTAGCCAAAGTTAACTAATCTTGTACAAATGCTGTATGACTATGTCAGTTGTGCCTAGTTAAGCCATTGTCTTATCGATGTGAACTAAACTGCCTTCCCTTTTTCATCTTTAATATTAGAACTTGTTCTAATTGGAATTCATGTAATTCCTTACGTCTAAAAGATTAGGTCTTTCTGGTTGCCCTCAATTTCAACTATATTTATTGATCCTGTGGCATTTCTTGTTTCCTTGTTTTAACAATTTTTTTTGCTATTTTAGAACGTCTTGTTTATGAGGTTCGACAGAAATGCAGGAATATTGAAGGTGAGGTTAAGCAAATGCATTCTTTGTCCTTCCCCATATTAAATTACGTAAAGGGCATGACAACCAATTGGATTCCTCCCTACTCTGCTGCAAGTTGTCTCTAAAATTCAAGGTGATCATCACAGCTGCAGTTCAGTAGTTAGCAAATGGATCCTTCTGCCATTAGAGTTTGTAGACTCTGGGTAGGCTTGAAACATATCACAAATAAAATCATTACTAACAAATCCAAAAGTAGCCCAGCACTTTCACAGTTGAGCATAAGGAAAAGCCTTTTATGGATCTTGTCTGTCTAATGGAAAAGACTAGGATGATCCATGCTCAGTGAGCCTATTGCTGGGTGTGGTTTTGAAAGAGGAGAATGCTGCCATTGAGTTAGAGGGGATAGAGAGTGGTACCTTTCTCACTAGCCCAGGGTAATGTATCTCTTTTCTTTCCTCACTCAACAACTACACCACTTCTCAGATATCTGCATTTCCTGTGGAAGCCTGAATGTCACCCTGGAACACCCTCTCTTCATTGGAGGAATGTGCCAAAACTGCAAGGTAAGAAGGGGCACAGGGTCACCTGGGAGCAATGTTCCCTCTAATTTTTTTTCAGTGTGTGCAGAAAAGTATAGTGTTTGAGCAGCACATTTTCATGCCTGAGCACCTGATTTTTTTTCACAGATGTTTCACAGAGCAATTGATTTTAGGATCCAAATTGGAATGGAGAAAAATGGTTGTGTGTGTGTGTGTGTGTGTGTGTGTGTGTGTGTGTGTGTGTATTTGAATGAGCGAGGGATACGGTAAGGGAACTGCGCCTATTTAGAAAAGGTAAATTATTGCAAACATGATCAGTCGAAGATAAGTATGGGGACAGGTTGCAAGTAGAAAAATGGGGACCACCTTTGTTTGGAAGGTAATAGCGCTCCATGCATCTTTGGTGTTTAGTCATGCCGGCCACATGACCATGGAGATGTCTTCAGACAGTGCTGGCTCTTTGGCTTTGAAATGGAGATGAGCACCGCCCCCTAGAGTCAGGAACAACTAACACAAATGTGCGAGGGGAGCCTTTAGCTTTAGAACTGCAAAAGGACAAAGGCAATGAGGGCAAAAGGAGAGAAAACGGGGGAAATTTTTTTTCCAAATTCCTGTCATGTTTCAAGCACCTTCCTCCTTGGAGGAAATTGCGATCCTGTCAGACAAAAACTGATCGTAGCAGTTTACATCTCTGTGATTAGCTCTTGTCTGATGGTTACATATTTTTTCCCAGAGCCAGTACCACATTTGCCTCCACTATGGATGCCTGGAGTGTATTTTGCAACATCCACTGTATTGCTTTCTGTTCTACATCTGTAAGATAAGATTTTAAAAAAAAACACTTGTGGTTAGCGTGTTATAAAATACTTTTATGATGGGAGAAACTTAAATTTATTGGGCTTAGAACTATCCCTCACACCTTTGTTTCCTCAGAACTGCTTTTTGGAATGCGCCTATCAATATGATGATGATGGCTATCAATCATATTGCACCATCTGCTGCGGTGGCCGTGAAGTCCTTATGTGTGGGAACAACAATTGTTGCAGGTGAGACGGCATCTCTGCCCCTCCCCCCACCCCAATGGGCCTTTTTTAGGGTAGTGTCACCATTAGTCAAATCCTCTCCTTTGCATTCAAGAGAAAATTAATATAACTTTTGCATCTTTTCTGTGGAAAATCAATCGCCCATGGGAAGAGCCCGGGTCTGTCTTTTCAATTTCTATTAATGGAAAACTATAACCTAGGAAAGGCAAAGAAAACTAGGATCAAGGCAGTTTAAAGGCAGGCTGAAGAACAATAGCAATAGCAATAGCAGTTAGACTTATATACCGCTTCATAGGGCTTTCAACCCTCTCTAAGCAGTTTACAGAGTCAGCATATTGCCCCCAACAACAATCTGGGTTCTCATTTTACCCACCTTGGAAGGATGGAAGGCTGAGTCAACCCTGAGAGACTTATATACCGCTTCATAGGGCTTTCAACCCTCTCTAAGCAGTTTACAGAGTCAGCATATTGCCCCC